GAGTTTCTAGATAACGGCAGCAGGATTTTTCCATGGATTGCTGTCTGGAACCCCGTTATTCCGCGTGGGATGTCGGTATACCCGTGTTTCGAAGTCTCGGTAAGCCCCTATGACCCCAAGCGTGGCGAGCGGGATAGCCGACTGGTGCAGGTCTGTGTTGCGTTCAACCTCTGGTAAAGTGTGGTTTGTAGCCTGATCCTGCCTACTATGACACAGCTTGATTGCCTTTTCCATGCAGCGGGAATGCAGTCTGGTCCAATAGGTTCAAAAGTGGTATAGTGGCACTCTGGACTATCCTTCTTTTAAGCGATTGAGCTAATAATATGAACCTCCTGTCCTACAGGATTCTTGCTATCTTTTCCACTTGTTTTCCTCTTTGTAAATTTTTTCTTCTGCCCGGTTTAGAAAATGCTAAATGTTTTTTTCATCTCTAGCCGATCTTAGAGCCCAGCTCGAGGTATTTAGAAAACTGAATTTTCAAAAAAAGCGAGTTGTTCTTTTCCCGTTATGGCCGGTGTTTTTTTTAGGTTCATAGTATGACCTGCGGCTCTAGCTTTTCGTTGTAGCGCGCTTTTCGAGCGCATTCAATGAATAAATAAATTATAACACGTACGCTTTTTGTCGCAGTGCTTCCAGGAGCACTCTTTCTGAGTTTATAAGAACAGAAGCAGTCAAACATGCGTTCAATTGGGAACGATTTCTGCAGCTACAATTGCTGCGAAGTGTTACGGGAGAACTGCTCTGAAGAGATCATTTGACCACCTCTCACATTCGCTCTACAGTGAATAATATAAGACCGATGCCGAACCTTGCGAATCGAGCGATTCACTATTAGCGATTCGCAAGTCTGTCATCAGCCTAGAATGTTTTCCAAAGACTTCTCAATAAGTGACAGTGAATGCGCCGACATTTCCGACCTCATATTTCCCGTACCACAAATTTCATTTTCATGGTAGACATTCGACTGAAATACTGCTTTCCAATTGAAAAAGCCACAATGTTGGAAATGAGGCTTCACTATGCTCACATCCTGAACTAGAAGGCATCGGAACCGACGTTCTTTAATCAAACCAGTACGATTTCACTGCACATGCATACATCAAGTACAGAAATACATTAAGTTATCGAGAAATGTGCGGGATGATCGGCTACTTTTCTTCGCTTTTCGGTTTCTCTTCTTCACTCTTCTGTAAACAAAATGGATTTTTGAGAACAAAAAACACAGTAATGAGGACATACCTTTTCACCGCCAGGAAGATCGTCAATGATTTGCCGTAGCAGTTCTGGATTATTGATCAATTCATCGAGATTATCCTGAAAGCGATTAAACTAAGAAAAAACACTACGTCTTGATGTTGTTGTTCCGCCGTACAGGTTGTTACGATGGAACTCCCTTATTCGGTCGACGTTTCGAACAATTCGTCGTCTTCAGGACCTCTGTAGTTCCACCAGCGCCACGTGCTCCCCGTTTCTTCGAACAGTTGCGGAAAAAAGCACGGAGAGAGGAAAATTGGGAGCACGTGGCGCTGGTTGGAACTACAGAGGTCCTGAAGACGACGAATTGTTCGAAACGTCGACCGAATAAGGAGTTCCATCGTAACAACCTGTACGGCAGAACAACAGCATCAAGCAATATTTCAACATGCCCAGGTTTCAAGAAGACCGAACATGGAATCTACTAAGTCTTC